TTGTGCGCTTTCCTATGGGAGTCAGGTGGCAGGGGACGCCAGCCAATCGTCCCCAGCTTGCCCCCATAAGAAAGCGCACATGTAAACAAAGCGTGACGTCATTATGTGTTAGGTCTACTATTCAAATTCAAAACCTGGTCGTGATTCCCTCCCCCCACTTGCTGGATCTGCCACTGTATAGCTGAGATTCAAATACAAAATAACGTCGTTGGAGCTAATGCAACATATGTTTGTCTAAAAATAAATATTTTATTGCTTTTTTTTGGTATTTGCATAATACAATTCTGCTCTAGGCTACGGAAAGAATGATGGCTACACTGTTGGGAACATTACTTGTCTGCATGAAAATATGAGAGGAAAACTGTGTCAAGATTGCGATAAATTATGGCCAACGTAATCACAAAATGGACTAGGATATTAGTATTGAGTGCTAAGTGTGATATAGTACAAAACTAGCCTTCCGAGGTGATCCCTTGAAGAGTATATCTGGAAAAATAGAACGCTCCCTTGATCATAGAGTTTACCCTTCCCCGCGTCAGAGCAGTCTGTATTCGTTGCATAACGCCTCACCCACAAATTCTGCTTATTTCTAGAGATACCAATTACAATATGAAATTAATATGTCTCAATTGAATTATTTTATCATTTGACCAAAGGCAGTAAAAGGCAAAATATTGTGTTTGAAAATAACAACTATACACGAACGTTTATTTGTATGAATTAATTGACATTTAAATTTTGGTTTAATGTCATCACAGTATTCGGATGCGTATATAAAAAAAAAAAAAACCGATAACATCAGGAATTATTGTGTAACAATCATCGGTACTGGGCACTGCATGATGGATGTGAATCCAACAGGTAAAATATGATCCTTTTCAAATCTCTCCAAAAATGGACTTGCCGTCTCTACGAAGTCATCATTTAAAACCTTTGCAGATTAATTTGTTACCGTTCAAAGAATGTTTAGGGGCATTGTGATTGCAATTTTGGCAAATGGTTTTCAATTTGTCAAACCTTAAAGGGCCCATTGGGGCACCCTCTCGACTGACATCGTCATCATGACTTGAGTCAAGCGCCCCCACCGAACATTGGAATATTTTTGGACGATGGTAAAGGACTTCCCTTCCAGGTTACATCCTCGCACTGCTTGTACAACTTCTTCAACTATTTTACGTTCTCGTCACCATGATGAAAGACTATCCGCAACACCAGGAAGGCATATTATAAATGAAAGGGTGAATTGTCCACGAATCTTTGCTGAAAATGATTTCAATGTATTGTTCTTCCTGCTTTATACTCATGAATGTTAATAACATTGATAAATTGATCTAAAAAAAAAGAAGCCAGTCAACGCATTTCTGGTGCTGCACATACATGTATATAGCAGTTGCGTAGCAAGGTCATTTTGATGGGAAGTTAAGCAGAGGTGAAGGGGGGAGGTTCACTGAAAAGTTGCCTGGGTTAATTTTACTAAAGAAAGGCTGAAAACTGCAAACTTGTTTCGGTTAGAATTTCTGCTAAATTAGACCAAATTGAATTTGGTCTTGAATGACTACAACTTTTGGTTGAATTTAACATAAATTCTAACCCAAACAATTGGTTATAGAACAATGGGTAGTTGCAGTTTTCACCCTTTCTTGGGTAAAATTAACCCAGGCCTTTTTTTCAGTGTTGGCACTCGCCTGATCCATGCCTAAACAATACAAGATAAACATGGATTTTAGAACACAAGATAAACAAGGAAACCTCGGAAGGCTCGTTTGGACTAAATCACACGTGGCATTCAAGACTACGTCCTCTTCCATTTTTTGATTACGTGCGCCATAACTGATTGCAGTTGTACCTCAATTTTCCTCTCATATTTAAATGCAGAAAAGTACTGTTCCCAACAGTGTAACCATCATTCTTTCCTTAGCTCATAACAGCATTGTATTATGTCCATGCAAAGACAAAAAACCAATAAAACATGTATTTTTAGACAAACATTTGTTGCAGAAGCTGTTATTCTCTATTTGAATCTGAGCTATACAATGAAATAGCCTGCGGGGGGGGGGGGGGGGATCATGACCAGATTTAAGCTACCCCCAACGAACATTTGAATATTTCTTTGACGATGGTAAAAGACTTCCGTTTTCAAGCTACATTCTTTATCATTGCACTTACAGTACAACTACATAAACTAATTTACATTCTCGTCACCATGACAGCATACTTTCCGCAACATCGGGAAGGCCTATTATAAATGAAAGGGTAAATTGGCCACAAATCTTTGCTGAACATGATTTCATTGAATTCTCCTGACAGCTTTATACTCGTGAATGCTGATAACATTGATACGTTTTGCTCAATAGCTAGCTATTGCTGGTGTTGCACATACAACTTCTCCAAGGCAGAATCTGTATGGATAATAGACTTCATTGACGGGCCTCTACTGGAATTTATGCAGCATATGTTCATCGAAAATAAATAGTGTATTGCTATTTTGTCTTTGCTTGCTGATAATGCAATTCTGTTCTTAGCCAAGAACAGAATCATTGGTGCACCGTTACTTTAGATACAAGAATTATTCGAAATAAAATATTTTACCTCTGCCTTTGCTCTTATGAAAATATATTCCCAAACGGAAACATTTGAATTTGATTTTGTTTAATTAATCGAAAATTTCTATAAAATAGGCAGAATATAAACAGTCTTGGGGTACAGAGTAAGTTTTTTCAGGGTGCGTTCAATTTTCCAAAATAGAACCGCAATCTTCTTGGGATTACCTCGGAAGGCTAGTGTTTGTATTAAATCACACAAAACATTCACTGACATTCTAATCTATTATCTTATTTCTATTCCCGTCTCATTGATTGATATCATACCTCACCAATTTTCCTCTGACATCATAATGCAAAAACAAAAACCATATTTTGTACAGTCTAGACAAGAACCAAGAACCATTCTTTTGTTAGCTGAGAGCAGAATTTTATTATGCCCCTGCAGAGACAAAAAATCGTAAAACATTTATTTTTAGACAAGCATATGTTTCATAAACTCCAAGGACGTTAGAGGCTCCGTCAATCTCCATATTGAAGTCTACTGATACTGATTCCATTTTGAGTAGCTATTTGCAACACAAGAATGCGCATCAAAACGTTAAACCATGTCTGCCACGTATAATCTCCGTTGGTTTAGGCAGCAACACAGTTCAAATAAAGTAGACAGCTACCTGCGTGTCAACAAAATTTCATAAATTTAATCCTAAATAACGCTGTTGTTTACCAATGGAATTCAACCACACTTTCAGATTATGGCATGACAAATTTTATGAAGCGAGTTTCATCGGCTCTGTGCAAGAGGGTGAGATTTAATCGCCAGACTAAAAAAAAACCCTTACTTTCAGAATGACTGGCGCTGGAGACAGTGGTGGATTCGGGAACGCACGTGGTGCGGCCGAAGGCTTCTGGAGGAATGCAGGGTCAAGCCAAAGTCATTGCTCATCTCCTCGATCGTGTGTTGCGCCAACGATCGAGGAGGTTTTCAATGTCATCAGGAATGATCCTGCTTTCCTTCAAAAGCTTCCGGCCGCAGCTCGCGTCTTCCGCCACCGCAAGCGCTGTGTCGACATTGGAGGTCGCCAAGTCGAAAGTGGCAGATTCTGAAAATGAGTATTTTTTTTTCGTATGGCGTTTAAATCTCATCCTCTTGCACAAAGCTAATGAAATTTGCCTAATAAAATATGTCATGTTTTTTTTTTTAATATTCTAAAATTTTGGTTTAATTCCATTGGTAAACAACAGAGTTATTTATGATCAAAAGTAGGACATTTTTCTGCTGCGTGGCTGGTCACCACCTGCTCACCGTTTTAGAATTGTTCGAGCTTTAATTTCTTTCTTTCCTTTTCCTTAAAACAATTCTCTTCAAAATATTCACAGCTGCTTGAACTTGAAGCATCAACCCTGATAACAGACTGTACAGTGGTGTGCATATTAACAAAATACCCGACGACATCAACAGTATCAAGTTACAAGCAATTTTAGTTAAAAAATGGCCATGCTTCAACTATGAACACAATTAGCAATCACCTTCGTACATTATGTCTGATAGACCATACCTTGATAAGATCAAGTTGCGTGAGCTTTCCTTGAAATTCCGGGTTGATACCAAAATGTTAAGCTATAGTAGGGTGTATTCAAAATGCAGACAGAACCCTTTAAAATAAAAGAAACCCCATTTTCTCCGAAACGGGTCAAGGCCGGGATGTAGATAAAACCTGGTATAAACATAAACTCCTGACCGAAAGCGTCCACCATTTACTTCTATTATTTACCAATGATATTTATTTCTTACATCCGATAATCGCCTGTGCGCATGCGTGTGTTAGTTCTATTTTATGGCTCCACGAGCGAACTTCTTTTTCTGAGGGGGGGGGGGGGTGTTTGTTTTCCCCTTTTTTGCGTTTACGATGTGCACGATGTGTTCAAACATGAGCAACGCTACAAGAGTTACATGGTCTTTAAATTAAACGTCTGTATAGATGTACGTGTTTCAGCATAACTGTAGATGACTCTTCTCTGACACTGGAACCCAGCTACTACTAAGAAGTGTTCTCGGCGTTGTTGTGGCGCATTCGTTCAGTAGACATCAAGTTGAAAGCATCCAGTGGATTTCCGCCTCCTGCCTTTGGTTTGGTTTCAAGTTTCGTTTCAACCTAAAATGTAAGCTTTGGATAAACGTGGCCAGATTTGATATGTCAGTTGCTTTGAAAGTAAAAACGTCCTGGTAATTGAATGTTTTCATTTTTAACGATAATTTGTCACGAATATACACGTTGATATGACTTACGACCGTGATATACTTTTACTGCTGCTCCTGTGTCAATTGCATGAAAAGTACAAATCGCGCAACAGTCGAATTAATCTGCGTGTGTGTGTGAGGGGAGGGGGGGGGGGGTTACAACCATATCATTGCAAGTATCTTACTGTCATTCATTTTCTACCTCACTTTCTAGATCAGCCAGAATGAAGGTTTACATGTGCCTGCTTCTCCTGATGGTCGTTGGATGTGCCTTGTGTTTTGCAGAGAGTAAGTACCGTATATTTGTTTCATGTTCCAGAATATCCCGATATATTTGTTCAATGTTCCATTATTCCTACCGTTCCGACATAGAAGTATTCTTATAAGTTTTTACCACATTCGCACAGCCCTTTGGGCCTGTCGTATTATGTCATGCTTGGAGTAAATATAGCTTGATTCGAGTTTTGATAATTATGATAGTCTATACGCACATTAAAATGAACGTTTAAGTTTCCATGATAGAGGAGAAAACACGTTTGACTGATTTTTCCCCTAAACGTACGAAACTTGCATGTTCCAAGCCTTATTTATTAGTGTTAACAAAAATGTTCGGTGTCTTTGCAAATGTTCAACGCTATGAAACTTCAACTCTTAATTTCTTTTTATTCAATATCTGTGCAGATGCAATTCATGAATTCAGCACCAATAACATTGTTAATGTCTTGCAGAATTTCTTGCCGAGAAGTTGATGCAAGACCTGGAATCTCGCGGAATAGTGAAGAAGGCGAAGAGTAAGTTCTGTGGTCTTTCATAATAAGTTTGTAATAAAAACTTGACGCAGGTTGGCACTTAACGACATGAATCACAATATTATTGCTCACACGCGTTTGGGTTGCAATTGCATGCTGTCCCAGAGAATATGCCGTTGTTTTTGTTGGAAATGTCAACGAAGTTTTGTTCATTTTCATGCAGAACATTTTTTCATTAAGAACATTTTGCGTTTGTTCTACCACGGACCCTACACACAAGGATTAACGACTCTGCCAAACGCCTGGTTAGACGCGTTATAACGGCCCGTACAGGTGGAAAATACCATGAATACTTGTCAACAAAGACCCCTGCGCGCGGCGGCTCTCAGATTTGCAGGGCTCTGCGCCCGATTTGGTGTCGTAGTCTGTCAAGCCAGCTCATTATATTTATGAATATTCATGATTCTGCGTTTTTTGTCTTTATTATTGAATTCTGATAAGTGATAACGTAACCATGTTAACGCCGAGCAACAATATCTTTAGCTTTAAAATGAACTATGAAATGTCGCTTTTATTTCATCGGGTCGGGACCACATCCTTAAATAATTTTTTAAATGAAAGCCTCTTTAAAAAACGGAATTCGGGTAAACGGTGTTCTCCTCGAAATTTGACGGGGTTTTTTTTCCGGGTAAATACTTCATCTATGGCGACAAAAACTGCACAATACCATTTGTTATATCCTGAAGCATTTATTTTTAACAATTTTGCAACAAATATTAAGGAGTAGTTTTGCTTACAGTTTCATGAATATTTCCGTTTTAGATGTCATGCAAAATAACCGACAAAATGGCACACCTTTGCAATTTGCGATTACAAGCCAAAGGGTATTAATGCCTATTATCATGCGTCTAACCAATTAAGGCAAGTCCGCTCAGTGCATTTTGTACTAGAGCTCAGAATAGTCGTTTATCCTTGTGTGTAGGATCCGTGGTTCTACTTCGTTTATAGGCAATCAATTGTTACCGTCAAATGGTTCATTTATAAATATCAACATTGATTATTCACACACTGAGTGTACAATTCTCCTTTCAATGAGTGTTGTTCTTGGCGTTTGCTGCTTGTTAGATCAGTTTTATTCTGTTTGCCTTAATTTAAAAAATTAACAATCGTTTGCATTGTTTTGAATCGGAATACAGTAAAAACAAAAAAATCTGAAAATCGAGAAGTGAATCTAAACAAATCTTCATTGGAAATGAAAACAAGATGTTTTGTTGTTTATTTGCGTTGTTAATCTTGGAATGGGCCCGTTTATTATTGGCTTTTCCGCTTAAAAAAAGCTTTTAGTTTTCCCCCAATCCCATAGCCTTTGTACATGTTTAATTCAGCCTAGTTTTGGTTAATTTTTGTTCACTCAGAACACGTTGAAATCTGAAAGCAAATAGCACAGAAAAAAAAGAATGCAAATATGTGAATCAATCATGTGTGTCCATTGAGGAAATTAAATTTGTGGTAAACCTTGTGATATTAAAGCTGTCTTCGACGAATTTGAATAAATGAATACCATTTGAAGTTGAACCAAATTATTTGTCATGCCAACGCTATTGCTAAACTTATGGAAGAGTTGTTGGGGACTAAATGTATAAATTTTCAAATAAAACTGGTTGAAAAAGACGGGTTTTAAATTGAGCGACTTTTTTGGGGGGGGGGGGGGTGGGGGTTGAAATTTGCCGAAATCCGATATTCCAAAGTTATATCTTTCCAAGATCATAATTCTGAGAAATAGCGATATCTGAAATTCGGAACTAGTCCCTACCGAACTCCAAAAGTGCCATCCTAGATGTTGAGATCATGTCATAATTTATCACGGGATGACAACATCGTACACGTAAAACGTCGACATCCTGAGATAGTTTATCACGGGATGACGTCTATAACGACATGTTTTAAGAGGGATGCCAACATCCTCGGATAGATCTATCACGGGTAGCACAATCCTGAAAGTAGGATCCCGACATCGTGAGACAATAATATCACGGGATGACGACATCCTGAAAGTAGGGTGTCGACATCCCCAGATACCTTCCAATGCTGTTTAGTGGAGTTATGGGAAGCAATCCTACTTTCAGGATGTTGTCATCTCGTGATAAATGTTCTCAGGTTCTCGACATCCTATTCTTTTGGGATGTCTTTATCCCTAGATACATTATCTGAGGATGTCAACATCTTATTTTTACGATGTCATCATCTCGTGATAAAACATCCCAGGACGTTGACAAAAAAATACGTGTAGGATGTTGTCATCCCGTGAAAGGTTATCACAGCATCTCAATATCTTGAATGGCACCTCCTGAGCCATGTAAGTCCCTTTTCTTTGTGGTATAAAACGAAATAGTTGCAGGCTTTTACTTTATGGTAATTTATCCTGGATGCCTGTAAACGTTAAACATGGACAGTCTCTTTAAAGCTTCCTTCAACAGATTATCCACACAAATATTTCTCTACGAGTCATTCACTTCCATGTTGGTTTCTGTTTCAGCTTGCACAACTGATGCCGAATGTGATCCAATGTATTGTTCTAAACCTCCCGGTCACGATCAGGGCTTTTGCTGGTGGGTGGGAAAAGGACGCTAGGAATTCTGACAATCAACATGAATGAATTAAACCATGGTAAGCCCATCGTTATCAATTGATGAACTTTTCCCATCTTTTCTCTAAAGTAGGTCTAGCGTTGCAAAACCTCTCTCTTTACGACATTTAAATGCTAGTGTCTAAACGTTTGGTCCTCGTAAGTCCATCGTTAGTCCTTGAAGAAATCATGGTGTTTTTTTCTTTTATTATCTCCATGCAGATCGTCAGTGGTTAACCGACAGCAAGGCTTTATTCTGATTCAATAAAAAGATTTGACATTAATTCATTTTTCTTTTCCTGGTAAGATTGTCTCATTTTTGTTAACAATACTGGGTCCGTGTTCCAGCCAGTTTTTTTCCATTGATTCCGTGACAGTGCTGTTCACGTCTGAAGTCTGCTCAATGTGAATTTAAAGAGTGATACTGAAATCAAAATGAAACAAAAAATATCTTTATTCGATCCGTCAATACAGACATATATTAACCGATCGGCACATTTGAATTGTTTACAGAACTTATAAAAGTCTACACTCTTGTCGTCATTTAAATGACACAAATTATGAGCTCGAGCACGGACTTAATAATTATCTCCATGTGATGTGTTTAAAAAAAATCTATGTTCGTTATCTTAGTTTGTTCATGTCTGTAATGTTTTTGTTCTTTTGGGGTGCGTGGTTGTCATTATCTGTGATGATAGGTAAAATCCACTTTTAAAATATCCATGAATATTAATCCTGCATGTATCGTTGAAGCAGCGCTTGGATATGGGAACATTTTATGCATCCTAGGATATTTTGTTTGTGTGTAAAGGCTGCTCACTCTGAATTTAAAGAGCACTTTTGATATCAAAATGAAACGAAAATATATATAATCGATCCGTGAATACCGACATATATTAAACGATCGGCACATTTGATTTTTTTTTACAGAACGCATACAAATCTTAAAGATACATTCTTTAAGATTTGTATGCGTTCTGTAAATGGCACGAGAAGTGAGCTCGAATACGGACTTAATTATTATTTCCACTGTTTTGTGTCTTAAAACAATATACGTTTGTTCCTGTCTGTAATGTTTTTGTTCTTGGGCTTTTGGGGTATCGGTGTTGCGTGGTTATCATTATCCGTGATGATGGGTAAAATCCACTTTTAAAATATCCATTAATATTCTTCCTGCTTGTATCGTGTAAGCAGCGCTGGGATATGGAAACGTTTGCATCCAAGGATTTTTTTTTTGTGGAAAGGGCGGAACACAAGCCGAGAAAAAACATGAGAAGGTTACTTTCTAAATTGGCACACTTCTTTGTCGTGATTTCAAATCAAAAAGACACTGAGGGTTAGCCACAAATGTTTCAGCTTTAAGGTTAGATTGGAATACTCGTTTATGTAATGTTTTTGGTCTTCTTGGTATTTTGGGTATTACATTGGTGCATGGTTATCATTATCCGTGATAATGGGTAAAATCCAATTTTATTTTACGCCCCAACTGTCACAACTCTAGATGGGGCCATTACCGTAAAGTTCAAGGGTGCACACAAGCTAAACTGGTTCTATAATACAGGAAGATGTTCACATGCGATCTTATTTTTCTCGCTGTTGACTAATATAAAGTCATACTATTCCTTTAAAAATGATTGTTGCCTTATCTTTTAAAACCTGCCATTTTGTTGTGTAAAATACTCAGCCATAAATTATGTACATCTTTGTTACAAAACACAGATAGGCTGTCCTTGATGGAATTTATTCTCATAACAGGTGTTTGTTCACTGTAAAAGAAGATCCAATTCTTCAAACAGGACTTTGAAATCATTCGTTATTAATTGAACGTAGGCTATCTCTCATCCTTTTTCATCCTTCGATGCTTTCTCTTTCGTAAACGTACTGTGAATGATACAGCTTCTTGGCAAAATAAATTGACTCTTGCACGCAAAATAATTTATCAGTGTCCATGAATGAATTCTCTAGACGTCTGTCTGTCATAGTCATCCATGTTATTTGATTGTGTTTTCAAACCCCTGCCTCATTTCTTCCATACTTGAAACAAAGTAGAAACAAAATTGGTCATGAACAAGTAAAAGGGACGCCCTCTTTGTACACAATCCGTGTGTGGAGGCCTGTGTGCATTATTTGTCATTGTATCATGACTCCCACCTAGTAAAGAAGTGCGTCTGATTTTGAGGATGTGCGAGCCTTTGCCGCCATTATACCGGTTAAAATCCTAGATATAATATTATGATGTTCCCTTGGGCTATGAAAGCAATGGGAAGCTCAACCAATAGCAGGCCATGCTTTGAGAGAATGAGAACACGTTTCTTACAGAAAAAAATATATATCGCGTTTATCATAACAATTCACGTGAAGCCATGTCCCAGTCCATTCAGTTTTCCTCTCATATTTTAATGCCCGAAAAGTAATGCTCCGAACAGTGTAGCCATCGTTCTATGGCGCAGTAAAACATTTTATTTTCCCCATGCATGCAATGATGCAAATACAGAAAAGCAATAAAACATGTATTTTTAGAAAAACATATGTTGCATGAATTCGGGCGATTCACAATGCAGTGCGCCGCCTAGAGTTTGCCACGGATAATTCATTTTTCCCAGTGCACTAATTTGGGGAGAATTATGCTCGACAAATTGGCAGCGCAGGCTGCCAAGGGAGTCGAGCAGTACGCCCCTACCATTACCTATCACTGGATCATTTGCATGTTCCAAAATCGTGCACACATATGGTAATTAGGAATAGTCTGGTGCCTGGCTGTGCGTTAAATCAGCATTTGTTGTTTCTCAAGTTAAAATGTCACAATTGAAGGTTAAAACACGTAATAAACGATGGAATTAACAACACCATGTACACGATAGAAATATTGCTGCTAATGTGGCTATAGAATTAGAATACAGGAATCAAGGTCTCATCCCATGGTTGGAATAAAGTAAGCTCTGGGGACGAGGTTGCAGTGCGGGATATTTGACATTATAAGTTTATCCAGTCAGCAGTTCAGTTCGTTAACGTATATGATTCGAGTATCTGTTTGTCCTTTTGTTTTCTTTTCTTATTATCAATTTGGTATTTTTTTTAACGCAGCAGCGCACTATGCCCCAATCTATAACAAATTAGCTCAAGTTGTGACACTCGTTCAAATGAGCCTTGTTTTGTCGACCGTACACTAACAAATGGACTCTCTGTGGCAAACTCTTGGTGGCGCACTTTATATTGTTAAAATGCCCGGATTCCAACGACGTAATATTGGACTATATTTTGATGTTCATCTATTCTGATTATGCTTTTGAATCTGATGGGCTATACAGTGGCATAGCAAGCGGCTGGGGGGGGGGGGGGGGGGTGGGGGGTAAGGTGGTATTTCCCCCGCCTTGATATTTTGTAACGAGTGCCCTTTTTGTAACGAGTGTATGTTTTGTCATTGTGTGCCCTTAATTTTGCGTACGATGGCAATATTATTGTTCCACCAAGAAACGTGCCACCCATTGTCCCTACTTGATTCCGTTTCCCTGGCCTATCCCTCTGGGTCTGACAAGTTAAAACTGTTATTTTTTCTCATTGTCTCCTCTCTACAAGTTTCTGCAGGCTTGCAAGCCTCAGTGCCTGGGACATGCACTTTGAGGAATCCTTGGTTTCCTTACCAGAAAGAAAGAAATAATTTTAACAATCATTTACTTCATTTCGTATGAATATAAGAACAGGATAAATGCTTCAGATTTCAAATATGCACTTTGCTGTCAAGGCTGGGTTGGGGCAACCTTGAAATTAAAAAGCAAATAAATCTGCGCAAAAAAAAGTATTGCATTTATTTATGTTAATTTTCAAAAATTGATATTAACAAAGTTCATATAGTACAAATGATACCATGTTCGTATGAATATATCACGGTATTTGCTGGTACTACCAAGTTTTAAGCATAAATTACTCGCATCTGTATGCATGAAAATTAGGCAAACGCTTTTACTAAAAAGCATTTGCTGAAAGCTGAAAATAATTACTTTTTACATTTTAGCTGTTGCCTCACTATTAGCGTTTACTTTTTTCATATGAATAAAAAGGAGCAAATGCTTCAGATTTCAAATATTTACTTGTCATATTACAAGGCTTGGTTGGGGCTACCTTGAAAATATACAAGCACATTATGCGCAAAAATGACTGCATTTATAAATGTTAATCGCGGAAATTAATATTAACGAAGTTCAGAAAGTACAAATGATACCATAGTTTGCATGAATAAAAACTGGCATTTGCATTTACTACCAAGTACTCGCATGAGTATGAATCAAAATTAGGCAAACGCTTACGTGTTTACGTTAAATAGCTAGTGAAGACATTCCTTTGTTTTCGTGTAGTTAAGAAAAACCTAAGAAGAAATACTCATCATACTCACACTTTGACCTCTTTAAACCCATATTTTAACAATGAATCCCTTGAGTGTTTCTCTTCATTTTGCGAAGGATAAACCTAACCCGAAAATGCCTCTAAACCGGTTTTTACAGAGAGGAGAAAACCTTGTGTGGATGATGTAAAACAGCTTTTGCTGATCTTTTTATCTAGCATCAATATTTTGTTATAAATAGAAAAGAAATATTAGTAAATATCGGGTCTTCGATCGGTAACTCGTTCTTGTGTTACAAAATTCTGGCATCCAAATTTACCAATCAACATCTTAGTCCACACATCTGACCGAAGTGACGTCCCAGTTTTGAAAGTCGACTCCGATTGGCTGCCGCGCGGGGTTGCATACAATTTCCATTTAAGGACAATATCAGACGTTCGACCGTGGCTCTGTACACAAGAATGTTTGATCCTTAGAATATAGATTGGTTTGCATCATTTCTTTATAGTTTTTGAATATCTTCTCTATCCTCTCGGCAATGCAGAATTTCTTCTGTTCTCATGAATGTAAGTATGATGCCACTAGCAGTAGGGCGCTTCGACGCGCGGATGTCGGCAACAGCCAGATAATCGAATTGTTCTCCTTCAAAGGCCACAATGATAATGGCATCCGTCGAGTTTGATACCTTAATGTCTCGGCCACTCTGAACTCAAGTGTTGACAGCCATATTTCCCAGGATCAAGTCTCACAGACGAGCGACAAGAGAACTCTGAAATACCCAAAAATGTACAGGCCTTAAGTGGGCTGGAAAATGCAAAGAGGGTACTGTCTGAATTGAAATGACCAAAACATTAAAAGAATGATTGACAATAAACGAAATTGCTTTAGTCCGGCAATTAAAAGCCGATCGCCACAATATGAGGCGAATTTATCGAAATTAGGACGAATTAGAATGTTTCAAATTAGTTTCACTGCACCTTCAAAGTAAAGGGACGAACCTGTGTTAACAGGAACAGAGTGCCTGTTCTCTTTCTTCAGCGATTGGGCCAGACTCGTATGCTGCTGTGGGGGGGGGGGGGGGGGGGGGGACGCCACACCTCCTCCACAGCGAGTTTGTTACCTTCCCAGGTTGCTCATTCGTGGCGGGATGCGTGCATGACGAAACGTTATTGTAAGATTTGAAGTGAATCACTTTGATAGTTAGAAAGCTAGACAAATGAACACGCATGTGATGCATATAGTGCAAAGCATGCTTTATTTTTCATTATAAATGACCTTGCATATGTATGGATCGCCTTGTCGCACAACATAACACAAAAATAATCTTGCATGATACATAACCCTATGGATACAAAATTGATGGCCATGAATACTATAATTATGAAAAGTGGAATCTTGGCATATTTATTAAGTCCCTGCCTGAAGCTTTTTTTGGCGGGCCACAGAGAGGCAATTCCGGGCGAGCTAAGAATTCTCTCACGGAGGTCCCACCCTTTCAATCGCTGCAGCCGGCGGTCCAGGATTATCAGGATACATTCTCAGTACTTGGTGTTTCCGGGTGCATACCTATGTTCCCCAATACCGATGTTCCCCAAAATCCTTACCTGCAATCCTTACCCGAAACCCTAACCCTAACCCTTACCCTAACCCCGACACTAACCATAACCTTAATCCTAAGAATTTCGGGGAACATCGGTACTAGGGAAAATAGGTATTGGGGAACATCGAGGAGACCCCGTTGTTTCGTATAAAGCTGTGGCACATGCTCCCACAAACACGCGTATCTCCCTGCATATTCCCGTGTATTGACGATATGGCATGATGCCAAATTTACATTTTAAGAAATGTAAACGCTCTTAAATTGTGGTTTATTCAGGCAGATGCACTTGTATGCATTACTGCCATTTTAACGGGCTCAAGGTTTCTCATTCATGGCGGGATGCGTGCATGACGAAACGTTATTTTAAGATTGGAAGCGAATAACTTTGATAACTAGAAAGCTAGACAATACACGCATGTGATGCATAGTGCAAAGCATGCCTTATTTTTCATTACAAATGATCTTGCATTATGTATGGATCGCCTTGTCACACAACCTAACACAAAAAATAATCTTCCATGATATATAACATACAAAATTGATGGCCATGAATACCACAGTTATCAAAAGTGGAATCTTCGCATATTTATTAAACCCCGACATTTTTTGGCGGGCCACAGAGAGGCAAATCCGGGCGAGCTAAGAATTCTCTCACTTAGGTCCCACCCTTTCAATCGCGAAAGCACTGTACTAGATATACAAGAGTACAAATGAATTGGATGGAAATACCTTTTATATTCAACATGAACAGGTATTTTATCCATGTTAGTTCTATTGTAAACCTTTATGAGCATCACAAATTGTTAAAATGAGAGATACTCAAATGAAAGACTGTCACACCATGAGTCTGTTTTTCCCATGGAGGACAGAAGTGGATGTACTTGACAAATTAGCAGGACAGAAAATCAAACGCAGGAAGGCAGAATTTGTATGATCAAAATAATAATTAATATTTGATTTATTTTAAGCCAACAGTTACACCAATAAGTTAATAACTACCTACTTAATAAAAAAGAAAAAATATTTACAAAAAAAAAATATACTTAATCTTGAGATCACGAGACTGATCTTTTTAACCCTCCAAATACCGGTATTAAGGTGACTGCTTTTGAAGTACCTCAGAAGTACCACACCAGGTGTTCAAAAGGTCCGTGTCAATGCATTGAATACTTAGCTGTGGTCGCGTGCAATTGTCCACAGAAGATCAGTTCCAACAGTTGGTCTGTTCTTGGCTCCGTGTCTCCCCAATCCCACATGTACTTGGAAGTCGATGGGATCCGGTCAGCCTGGCTGCTATAGGTTCAGATCACCTTGTCAGCAGGTAGGTAGGTAAGCGTCGTGCACCGACAGTCCACACAGGAATCGGTTAGTCGACTCTAGCCGACTCGCCCCACACAGGAATCAATTCGGCAATCGTGAGTTCAATCCACACAGGATTCGTGAACTCAGTTGTCCACTAAGGACCTCTGACCTTGACCTCATGAAGTTCCCCACAGGGAAAAAAGCCAGTTTGCAGGATAAACTGGATTTTAAATCATGGGCCACGCCCTGGTACACACAGTACCACTGTATGTACAGGTACATGTACATGTACTCCCACAGGACTGTACACAGTGAAGTCTAGAATGGCAGTGCCCTGGGGAATGCACATGGTATCCAAGACCTAACAAAATTACTCAACCAAAGCATTAATTTGCATACTGTCATTTGCATAAGAAAGATTTAGCTCTGCTTTACACTCTGGGTAGCCTCAATTCTGGATGGAGGAGAATTAAATTAACTTGTGCTAAAATAAATGTATAAGTGAAAATCCCATAATTAATTACTTGAATAAACACAATGATAAATACAAAAATTGAAACATTATTTAAAATTATAAATCACACTTTGTGACAAAGACAATTGCACAGTAGACTTACAGTAACAAGTTTCACTGTTTGAAGCCCCTTTGCAAAGGATGATAAATAACTCCTTTTTTATAATTAGCATTTCTGCAGCTAACCAATGTGCTGTTTTCATGTTTGTTCGGGGAACATCGGTACTGAGGAACATAGGAACATAGGAATTTACTTCTAATTTGTCACTTTTTTTCAGCGGCTTTGACATCCTTCAAATTGCCTGCATCTGATAATCACATATGCGCATGCGTGTATTAATTCTAATTTATGAGTTATGGTCCACGGGCGAACTTGGAAGGGGGGGGGGGTGCAATTACGATGTGCGTAATTGGTACAAACATAAACAACGCCCCTAGAGCCACGTAGTCTTTAAATAAAGCGTCTGTATATAATTTATAGATGTACGTGTTTCAACAAAACTTGCAAACGGTTCTGTGATACTGATAGGCCAGTAGTGAAGCCCGTCTGTATAAGTCGGTATTTCGTCATCACGACTACCCTCTCGGCGTTATTTTCCTTTTATCATTCGCCCCCAGCGGCGTAGCCAGGTTTTTTTTCATCGGAGGGCTGGGGGGGGGGGGGCACCAGCATGTCATGAGGGGCACCAAGGGTGGACCCAACAACAACATTTCCCCCAAATTTTCAGGCCACCGCAAGAGCTTCTAATTCGAAAAGCGGGGTGACGCTAAAGGGCGCTCTGTCTTCGTATCAATGTATTCACATTTCATACAGCCGTGAGATTCAGGAAAGTCAAAATAGCTCAAACAAATACTTTAAAACGACGCTTCCTCGGCAAGCGGGATATGGCTGATTTGTTTTATGTGGGGGGGGGGGGGGACATGGGGGCACTGGGAATGGGAATTTTTTTTGGGGGGGGGGGGCACTGTGGACCCCACCAAGTACAGTAGAAGTCCGTCTGGATTTGAGGATGTGCAAACCTTTGCCGTCATTATACCGGTTCACATCCTAGATATAATATTTTGGTGTTCCTTGGGCTATGAAAGCAATGGGAAGCTGTAAGGAAGCCTCAAAGAATGAATTCTTGATCAGTACCTTGTGTCTGCTCTAGAGAATAACAAGCCATGCTTTGAGATAATGAGAACACATTCCCTACAAACAAAAGAAAATATCACGTTTATGGAAGCGATGTTAAAACTTTACTTGCAACGTGCTAAACCACAGTCATGGTAACGGACAAGAGCTGATTTAAGAGACTTCTACTTTCCCTGCTATATCTAGCAAAATAATTGTCAGGGGAATCGCGCACCGACACCACCGAGGCCTTGCGGAAAAAGCGAGGCCGAACCCCCCCCCCCCCCCCCCCCCCCCCAGGATACAAACACACGCACACACAAGTCTGATCTGATACACCGTGCCCTCTGGAGACATGCACACAATAGGGAACAAAATATTGTATACGTCTCCACGGGGCCATTTCTATAGATGAATACGTCTCCATACGGTTTTCACGAAACAGATACCAGTCGAATCTCGTTAGTACAAACTCTCTTAATACAACATTCTGGTTATAACAAACAAGCCTTAGTCCCGACTGTGCATTTATGTGCACAATGAATGGGACTGATGTTCCTCTTAATACAAAATACTGATATAACAAACAATTTGGCTAGGTCCGAACGAGTTTGTATTAACAAGACTCGACTGTATATGGATTTACTCAAAAATAAATTTCCAAGGTACGTTGCTCCGTCGCAAATGGTACTGAGTTTTAGTACAGGGATATTAATTCCAAATTTCAGCCAAGGAAATTAATTCTGGTTAAAATAAGAGCATTTTGAAACTGAACTTTCAAACTCGAAATCTTTAGTACACGAGAACAAAGAAATGTCTCCATAAGGATATAAGTATTTGCCTGCAACGGGGACCCCCTGTATATATCTCTTTTGTTTGTACTTCAAACTTTTTAGGAAGACCACCCATATGTTTTGTACACGAATCCAAATTGGGGACCTCTTGGAAATTCGGGACCCTATAGTCCTCTTTTGTTCAACGTCCCCTATTGAATGTAGGAACAAACTTTCACTCTATCAGGTCTGCATTTACCTGCAATAAGACCCCCTATTAATTGTGACTCTTTTGTTTGTACTTTTTAGGAAGACACCCCATATAGGTTTAGTACACGATCGTCAATTGTGGACCCTATTGTCCTCTATTGTTCAACCTATTGTTCCTACTGAATGCAGATACAAACTCACACGCACAGCACACATGTTTAATTACGTTATATACGAAGTGTGGGGATTCCTTTGTTTCCGTGTATGAAAAACCCTTGTGCAAAAAAAACTCATTTTACTTACACTGTGAACACTATTTCAAATCATTTTTTGCTTTGATTCCTTTCAGTGTTTCTCATTTTGCCACTGATAAACCTAGCCCACAAAGGCCTCTAAACCTGGTTTGCAGACAGAGGGAAACCGTCGCTGCTACGTGGTTTATGTGGACCTCTTTTGTAATGCTTGTACACCCATATTTTATCCTCAGGACCTGCTTTTGTTTCCTTCTTTTGTTCCTATTGTTTGTACTTTTTCTCAACACGTCCCGTAAGGTTTGTACACAAAAACTCCAGAGGACTTGGCCCAAGTGTGTCTGTACCTTTCTATTTAGGAAGTCTTCCCGTATGTTTTGTGCACGATCGTCAATTGTGGACCTTCAGGAATTGTGGACATTCAACGTCCCCTATCGAATACAAAAATACATACCCACACACACATTTGGTAAATACAAATCATGCCCGTCTGTTGCGCGAGATTTTACAACGTATACTATAAATAATGAATTATTGCCTCTTGTCTGCGTAGTTATGATCATAAAATTGATATAAATTGCATTCGAAATAATTTCCGCCAGCTGAAAGCTTATAGTAACTTTCACACTAGCAATTAAGGCGCGCTTGCGCTACACAGCTTATCATCATCTTTTATCGCGATTTTCTCTGGATTTATTAATAACATAGTCGCACATGGTATTGGCAACATGAACATTGTATAAGAAATTGAAACTAAGAGAATCGCATGAAAGTGCACTTTGGTTTTACACTGGCCCAATGTGAGACGATACGGTAGCGAATGCCAAAGATAGGATGAGGCTGCGGGTCGGAGGTCAGAGGACGGTGATGTAGCGATGAGTTGGACGGTAGGTCGGACTCCAAGAATCTCAAAGTACGAAGAGCGGGATGTGGGCCCTTCCCAGCCGTGAATCGCGCCGCCTGCCCCCAGGAGGCTTCCAGAGGTGAAAGTGACGCCACCGACACGGCCACGGGTATAAGAGCAATGCCCCTTGCATGGCAAGAAAAATAGCAAATAATGTATAGGCCTATATTTTGTTTCGGTGGGAACCTAAAAAATAACACGAACATTAAAAGCTCACATCTTGATAATTTTTGTTTGTAACCTCAGAGGAGACCTTTTTTTTTGCCCATGGAAAGACAAAAAAAGCCATGTTTAGATGAGCATGTTGCATAAACTCCAAAGCCATTAGGGATGCCGGCCTGTAAAAAGGCCCGGAACTGCCTTCGCCGGCCCAACCACAATTTTAATGCCCTCATATTTCTCCGGTATAAGAGCATTAGGAGGGCCATGAACTTGATAATTTGTTTAACAAAAATAATAGAAGAACTTGGAGGAAGCCGTGTAAAGGACTGCGAGCTCGTATTTCTGTGAAATTCGGAGGAATTAGGCCCTAAAAATGGCTCTATTGTGCCATGGAACATATAAGCGTCCATTTCCAAAATGGCGATGGGCTTGAGGGTTGCTTTAAACGATAATCAACTTTTGATGAAATTCTCTCCGAAAAGTCGCTTAACCTCCAAAAAAATTGAACAGAAAATGAAAGATGATGAAATAGGCTATAATTTTTTGTGTGTCTCAAACACCTTGGAGAGTTGTGAGTTTTTTTTCCTAATTTTGGGAAGTGCGCGTAATAATCACTGAGGTCTGTGGCAGACTAGTCTGCAGTGGCAAGAGTCAAACGAACTGCGAACCGGCCTGTCAATCCAAAGGTGAGTACTGACCAATGAGATAACGACTTTGGGTCAGGTGCATGGGCATCACGAGGGGAACCCCCCCCCCCCTTCTCATCCCCACCCCCGGACAAGCAAAACAAATAGATAAAAGAGAAGGGAAAAAAGGGGGGAAAAAGAGGTGCGAAGTCATATTTTTGTTAATTTAATGGGTTGGGAGCGGGCAAATGCCCCCCTCTAGAAAAAGGCCTGCTGACGCCCATGGTCAGGTGACTAAACAACTGTTGCTATAGGCGTGTCCGCCATTAACTCGGTCAAACTGGGTCACACGTAACCCTTCCGTTTAATTATGTTTTGGACCGATCTAGATGGTTAGCGGTTATAAAATTCCTTCTCCTTGGGGATATTTCAACAATAGGGCGACACCAATATGTCGCCCCGATAAGGCGTACGTGTCGCCCTAATGTAGACGAGATAAGCAAGAAGTGTCGCCCGTTCACAGTGTTCGTAAGTTTAATCGCACACACTTGATACAACAATGCACATACAATGTGTATTGTATTATAATAAAGTCACCATGTATCATAAGATTTCAACACAAACAATTTGAGTTGTTTCAATTATAGTTCATGTACTAAAAGATGAATCATGTTCACACTTTTGTGATTCAAACCGTTGTTTAACATGTTCGTGCTACTTTGACCTATCACTTCCGGCGCGGTGTTACTGGAAGGTCAAAGTTAGGCGAATTAAATATGGAAAGAAGCGTCAATATTAGCGTAACATATCCTCATTGAATATGTACACATGTTCCGCCAACAGATGGCGCCCTCCATAACTATAACCTAGCATTTCGCTTCTCGAAAAGAGACGGTGTATATCATGTCAGAATAAAACACAGGAGTCGAGTCCGAAACCGTGTAGTGTTCAACCATTTATTCTTAGGAATACAGTCCAACACTCTTTACAATTAGAACAAACGGAATTTCCTCCGAACAGTTACCCTTGTCCAAAATGTGGACATTGTTGTGCGTTATCATCTACATGTACTAAATTTCAAGAGATTGAAGGACACAAATTGACAGGATACTGTAATCAGCAACTTTTGGGCTGAAATGAGTACCCTACTTATTAGCCCCATAAATGTGGCCAATTTACTGGACTACCTCCGTAAATAAAGGCCACACTTCCACCATGTACAAAAACATGTCGAACTTTGTCAAATTTTGATATTCACATTCAGGCTTAGTTTGTTGTCATTTTTGCTTTAGAAGCATACTCACCCTCTTTATAGGCTAATCATAAAGTGCTGCCTTTTTTCAGATGTCTAATTTTCGTGAAACTACAAATTAAGCCTAAAAGTGAAAATCAAAATTTGACAAAGTTCCACATTTTTTGTACATGGTGGACGTGTGGCCTATGTTTACGGAGGTAGTCCAGTAAATTGGCCACATTTATGGGGCTACCTGCTAATGTTGCCTTTGACATACTTGCAGGATTTCCAAAGAGGACTAATGAATAATTATAACCTACCAACTGAAGCATTTTCTCTATAATAAAAACAATAATAATAAGACCTTCTGTGGGGGACGCTAAATACAAAACAAGTCATGATGACGTCATATCATTCTAATGGGCACCCCTAGCAATACCCAAGAGAGGCTTCGTGTTTAAGCTCTTACATGAGCTTCTTCATGTCACTTGGTGGTCGGTCTGTCTGTCCCTGAAAATTGACCAAAATACGGCCCATTAGTTTCCCACAAAATATAAGGACCAAATTTGTATTGTTAAAAAAAAGCAAACTAATAAAATATGTAGTAAGCAAAATTGTTTGTAACAACATATTATGAAAAGTTGGTAATGGGAGGCAAAATATGTGCAGTGTTATTAAAGTCACGTGGTATGTTCCACAAATTGCTATAAATAAGGGAATAAATGTGTGCTCGAGAGGTTTTTATCACTCTGTTTAATACCGCTTAGAGTCTGGGTGCTGATAATTACCCGAGCCGAAGGCGAGGGTAATTATCAGCACCCAGACTCTAAGTGGTCGTAAACAGAGTGATAAATACCGACCGAGCACATATTGATTCCCATTCATAAATACCTTATCCGTAAAAAATATCAAATAATTCGTTCAAAAAATCCCGATTTTGTTCAACAAGTTCACTTCATGCTTTTTGAAACATCCCTCTAGCAAAATAATGGAGTGTTCAGCTGGCGAGTAAGATGTAAACAACCCTTTTATGGAGATTGACGCGCGCGTAGCATGTTCTGCGCGATGTCATGCAGAACGCACCTGGGGCGTTGCGTTTTGAAGTTAGAATTATAAAATTCTGACTCGCATCATAGTGTTGCGCATGCCTACGTGAGGATTGTGAACGTTCAACCAATGAAACGGTAAGAGGAACATGATTTTTAGGAGTCCACATTTTATTGTGACACTGGAAAAGTGTTTAAGACCAGCTAGCCATGTCTTTATCATCCGTTTAAGACCGGCCACGTGACGGGCTCTCGACCAATAGGAATAGCTTAACTGTCTGAGGTATTTATGAATCTAGTTTTAAGGTGTAAGTTTAAAGAATGTGCATGTGTGCCATCAGCGTCGCATTTTTTTGGCGTCGCACTTTTCAGCTCTGGCAGGGATCGTTTTGATCGATTTCATGCAAGACTTTCGTGCAAGCTAGACGGCCTAATTAAGCTTATTGTGCAGTTGCACTTATTAAATTAAAAAAAAACCCAAAATGTTGCTTGGACCCAATTCTGTGCATACGCTATAGGCCACGAAGAAGGTCATGTCTGTGATCAACGGGGGCGTTCTATTTTCCCAAATAGAACTTCCCAAGGGATCAGCTCTGAAGGCTATAGTTTTGTTCTAAATCACACTTATCCTTCAATGCTACATGTAATATCCTGGGCCATTTTTTGATTACGTTCGCCACTGATGCAACCGGACCTCAGTTTTATTATCATATTTTAATGCAGAAAATGCAGAAAAGTAATGCTCAGAATAGTGTATAACCATCATCTTTAGCTCAGAGCAGAATTTTATTATGCCCATGCATAGACAAAAAGCAATAAAACATTTATTTTTAGATTACCTTATGTTGCATAAACTCCAACGACTGCAGTGATGTCTATACTGATCTCCACAGATGCTGATTCTGTTTTTTTTCTGAATGCACAGCCCCGGAAATGCTTGGACTGGCTTCATTTTGAGATCAATTTATCAATGTTATTAATAATAAAGCTAGAAGAACGATTTATTGTTACACAAGTTCTTCCTTTTAGCCGTACCTTTCTTTTTCCTACTTTTTAAAACTTACCTTTGGGGAAATGGTTAAAATTCAAAAGTTAACTTTACATGGAGTAGGCCTATGCCATTTTAGTTAACAATCCCCCTCTACTTTCTTGTTTGTCCATGGATCGTTCTTCGATTAATTTCACCTGTTACTTTCTTACATGTTTTTGATATTCACGGACAGTTGTATGTATAGCTATGAACAAAATTAGCAATCTCGTTCAAACTTTGTAATCTGAGCATACCTTGATAGATCTGTAGGTATCTTCTTTTTGGGGTGAGGATGGTGGGGGATGGGCCAGGGGAGTTGGGTTTTTGTTTTTCTTGTTTGCGTTTACGATGTGCATGATGTGTACAAACACGAAAAACGCCCCTGGAATCTCGTGGTATTTCATTTAAAAGTAAGTGTTTCAACAAAACTGGCAATAGATGACGGTCATGTGACACTTGAACCCTGCAGCTACTACAAAGAAGTGTACTCGGTGCAGCTGTTGTGGCGCATTCGTTCAGTAGACAGCAAGTTGAAAGCATCCAGTGCATTTCCGCCTCCTGACTTTGCTTTGGTTTTCAAGTCCGTTTCAACCTGAAATGTAAGCTTTGGATAAACGTGGCCAGATATGATATGTCAGTAGCTTGGAAAGAAAAACGTCCTGGTTATTAAATTTGTTTATGGGTTACGGTAATCTGTCATGGGATGTACCTTGGTATGACTTTACATTGCATAAACGAGAGTGATGTACGTGTTATGTGTACTTTTACTGCTGCTTCTGAGCCGAATTAATCAGCGGGGGAAAAAGATATGACATACTTTTTTTGTTTAAGGCTCGCATTGGTTTACATCTAGCATGGCAATACAACCACATCATTGAGAGTTTCTTACTGTCTGTCATTTTCTCCCTCACTTTCTAGATTAGCCAGAATGAAGGTTTACATGTGCCTGCTTCTCCTGATGGTCGTTGGATGTGCCTTGTGTTTCACACAGACGGAGGGTAAGTTAATTTGTTCAGTGTTCCATTATCCTTCAACGGTTCCGACATAGAAGTCGTCTTATAACCAAATTAGCACAGCCCCTTAAGCCTATCGTATATGTTTAAAGTAAATATATTTTGATTCGATTTTCTTTTTTCTTTGTTGTATAAAACAAGAAATACACTCAACCAAAACAGAAAGTCCTACCTTAATATTTGTTTGTCTAACTCAAAAACTACTGGGCACATCTTGCTCAAATTACAACCGATCAGTACAGAAATTCATTTCCAGCCAAGTTTTTTGCCTACAACAGTCGTAATTAATGTTCAAAATATGCAATTAATGACCAATGGTACCCCCAAAAAAGTTGCAATGTTGTATGCGTGCAAGGTGAGTTTGAACCACAACTTGCACGTATCATTTGTCATACATTGCATAAATCCGTACACATTATCTCTATTTTGGGCCAAATAAAGAGTATGGCTGGATTGCTAAGGAATGTCTGTACTGATTAGTCGTTATTTGAGCGAGAGGTACTCAGTAGTTTTTGAGTTAGACAAAAAAAAGTATTGGAAGGGGGGGGGGACTTTCTTTTTTTGTTGAGTGTAGTTTCAGGTTATAACGGCAATTTATCCTGGATGAACATGGACTTTAAAGTTCCCTTCAACATGTTATCCACACAAATACAGCCTGTCAAAAAAAAAATGGTACAATCGTAAACGTTTTTTTTTTCAATATCAAATCTCAACATAAGTAAGTCGTTTTGAGCATCACATTAAAGAAAAAAAAGACCAGGCTTTCCAATACTATTTGTTTCATCTCATTTGCTTTGTCAATCAGAGATAACTCCAGTTTACTGCGGAACACAAAAATCGAGTTTGTGCCACAGTGGCGAAACAACTCTGCCCATGCATAAAATTGGCACAAAATCGATTTTTGTGTATCGCACTAAATTGATTATATCTCTGAATTGACAAAAGCAAATAGAACATTGGATCACTATTGGAAAGCCCAGTCTTTGTTCTTTAAAATTATGCCGAGTAAGAATAACTTATTTTGAAATTTCATATTTTTTTTCTGATTGTACCAGTTACATCCATGTCGTTATTTGAGCGAGAGTAGTTTTTGTGTCTGACAAAAAGTAAAAGTATTTTTCTGGACCCAAACCTGAAACTACCTTTCACCTTCTATAACTAATTGCCCTTCAAATAATACATTCAAATATACACTGAAATCGTTCATACTTAATTCTCAGAGTGCCTGATTTATTATATCGTTAAGTTGATTCAGCCGTTATTGGAATGTTGTTTATTGTCGTGTAAATGCTTATACATATTTAGCTATTGTCATTATTTGTAAATTCTATAATTAGTGTTGTTTGTCTTGTTTTGTTTTGTATTGTTGAGCACATCCTTCTCAGTGTGCTTGATTCATTACTACAGTAAGCCGATTTAGCCGCTATTGCTTATATATTGTCTTGTCTGCTTTGTTTAGCTGCTTCACATTAAACTATTGTCATTATTTGTAAATTCTATAATTAGTGTTGTTTGTCTTGTTTTATCTTGTGTTGTTGGGCACATCCACCACAAGCTTCGGCTTTTTGTGATGATGCCTCCACTGAGTGGAAAAAAATGTTTTATTGAAGTGAATTATTGAATTGAATCCATGTTGGTTTATGTTTCAGCTTGCACATCTAATGCCCAATGTCCAGGACGCTACGGGGTATGTCATCAAACATTGGGATATTGTTTTAAATTGAACCCTCTTGGCGTAGCACCAAGAGCGTCGTAATTCAAGTTCAAAACACCAGAACTACTGACAACGGACTTGAATGAATTAAAACATTGTAAGTCCATCATTATCGATTTAGTGGTCTTTTCCCATCTTTTCTCAAGTAGATCTAGTGTTGCAAACCCTCATTTCTTTACGCCATTTAAATGCATACTTACAGTCATTACAATTTTAGTGGCTAAACGGGTCCTCTGAAACGTTTCCATTGTTGTTTTTAAAAACAAAATAAAGTGTATTGTTTTCTTTTATTATCTCCATGCAGATCGACAAATGCTACCCGACTGCAAGGCTTTATTCGGAATAAGTAAAACATATTGGACATTAACTATGGTTTCTTAATTTCTGATAAGATTGTCTAATTGTTTGTTAACAATGCTGGGTCCGTGTTCCAGCCATTTTGTGTTCCATGGATTCCGTTACAGTACTGTTCACGACTGAAGGCTGCTCATGATTATGAATTTTAAGAGCGATATTGAAATCAAATATCACACAAAAAGAATCTAAATCCATCCGTTATTACAGGAATATTTAACGATCGGCACATTTGAATTGTCAACAGAACGCATACAAATAAATTTTGAAGATACATTCTTCTCATTATTTTAATAACACGAATTATGAACTCGAGCACGGACTTAATATTATTCCCACTGTGTTATCTTTTAAAAAAAAAATGTGTTCAGGTTTATTTTATTCCTCGCTGTAATGTTTGTTTTTTTGGTAATTCTTGGGTTTTGGGGTATCGGTGGTGCATGGATATGATTAGTCCTGGTGATGGTTATAATACTCATTCTTCCCAAGCCCAGATTATGTGTTTCGTAGCATCCAGGCATCAGTGTTCCAAAGAATGGAGAAGGAAGGGGAAAGGAAGAGGGAATAAGAACAAAGTGGAGAATGTAAATAATAAACACTGCTGCTCAAAACTCCGCGAAGCTAAAATCAGGTTCTGCAATCCATGGCAAAAGATTGTACATTCTATCATGTCGGCACAAGCTGCCGCGGCGTGAAGTCGCTTCATGTACGGTGGTTAACAGCTGCAGCTGTGCAAAACAAAAGCACGTGCTCGCTCGCAGCCAGTTACGAATTGAGCTGATTCTTATTAGTGACAACTCTAAATAACGAGGGCATATTTCGATAGAGTCGAGCTACAATTTTGATATTTGCGCCACAGAGCATCTGCAATCCACAAATTTCCCGGGGCTCTTTAAACGTCCCCAGATCCCACAACTTCAGGGCTTCGCACATAAAAAAGTCCACTATATAGGAATTAAAGAACCTCCTCCCCCCTGCATTCTGGGATCAGGGAGCAGGCCTGAACAAGGTATGCGCAAAGCTACTGAGCATGTACATGCAGTTTTGCGACAATGAAATCAAAAACATTATGGGTTGAATTTTGTATAAACGAGCAATTTCAAAAATTAGTTTCAAACGATTACAGTACAAGCTTTCAAAAAAACAAATTAATCATTGCAAATTAATCATTGCATTTAAGTTGCAATTGTCCTCCGATAGAAAAGAAAGAAAATAAAACAAAAAGTTATGTGGCGATAGCCAAGTCTTCAGGAGTCGGACTTATGACCCTAACTCAATGAGCCCCTTACCGACTTCCAATATAGAACTCTTCCGGGACTCGGTACCCGGCCCACCACACCTCCTTCCCTGTCCATCCATGTAACTCGAAAGTCAGGCACCATAAAGGGAGGAAACGAGGTGGCACCCTAAGCCTTGCTGCCGAGTCAGCAAAAGAACCCCGTACCTATACGCAGATGCCAACCTGGACTTCGCAGACAGTCCCAACTTGTGAGTCAGCTTACCGACCGACCGAGCTAACTGCTGTTGGTAAATGACGACGGGAAAATAATACTCTTAAATGACAGAAGCGCGGGCATCGAAAACCAAAAACTGACACCAAGTGGGTTCGAACCCCTAACCCTGGGTCCGCTGTCAGACAACTTAACAACTAGGCTGTTTCAGTAGGTGCTTTTCTATTTGCGTTTAAAACAGAGAGTTACTTTGTGTTTCATAGCTGAACAAAAGATGCATCAGCATCGTGCTGTACACATGAATGCTGTATTGTAACTCTTTTCTACAATCATTCTTACGTACCAAGCAGATGACTATTCAGAGTCACTACGAGCAATTAACCTCACCATGCTCGTCCTTTTTGCTGTCTCATCATATTCTGTCTCAATTGTTTCGCGTCGCGCGTCTTTCGGCAGGCACTGACATATCGCGCTGATTGAGTGAAATTCTAGCAAATTTCCCTACCTTATTATATTTATATCAAACTACTGACCCGTTTACAAAATATTTTGGAGGGAAATGTGTTTGTCTGATTCTAATTCAGCTACCTTAGCTAGCTTGCCAAAATTCGTCTTTTGTGTACTTACGCTAAGTGTAGGGAATGATGCCATTATAATACAATGTCACATTAACGTCAGCCGGTGGCATGATGAGAATCGTGACCACGCGAGTGCAATGACGGCCAGTGCAGCACATGTAATACTTCTTATCGGCGGCGGCGGAACGTTTTTAATAGTGGGGGCATCACCAAAAAGAGGCATCTGTTCAGAAAAAAGGCACCTTCGACCGGTGTGAAAGAGGAGAAAACTGTGGATCTATATTCGTTTACATAGCAAGGAATACATGTTACCCAGAGCAAAATGTGCTACCAGCATTGATATACTTGATATATTTTAAAAATGTTTGCATTACATTTTACAGGCCAGTTTTCCATTTTGAGAGGGGCACAATTGTTTATTGTGAGAGGGGTCATTCGTGTTTTTGAGGGATTTTCCATCTTGAGAAGGTTCACAATCTTGTTAATGCGCGAGCGGTATTTGTGTTTTTTGTTCAGTTTTTTTTTGGCTTTTTTGGGGGGGAGCACTTTTGCATCACAAGAGAGGAGATCATTTTTTAAACGCGATCATAATGTTTTCATGTGCGTTTGAGGGCAGTTGTATTTTCATCTCGAAGGGGCATTTTGTGACCTTATGTGGCAAAGGTGTTTCGTTGGCCCTGCTCCACCCTAGGCACTGCGCACACAAAATTCATGTTAATATAATTCAATACAAAACACTGTACAAATCAAGCCTGGCCAAACTGGATAGGTCCTATCTTCAGCAGCCTGTTGACACCGATTCCCGAGGGTGTCATTCGCTTCTCAAAAGTGGGGGTGGTACGTACATGTGAATCTTGATCAGCACTAATGCGAGTGCGAAGCCTAAAATGGCGTGGGTTCGGAGCCCACTTATGGGCCCCTGAAACAAATTCTAACGATTTCTGACGATTGCCATAGTATTAGCACAAGATCATCATTTAAACATCTTTTTTCGAGTTTGGAGTCATAAGATCAGCTGTTTTGAGCTTAGAATCAAATGTACGCAACTTTTTTTTATTCAGGGACTAACATTGTTGGGAAACGACATGTCCCCCCCCCCCTTCCCCACAGATCGACGCCCATGGTTGGCGGCGTGCTTCAGAACGACAAACTTTACACGTACATTGTATACGTAGGGCCAGTGCATACATGCTGTACATGCAGCTGCGTCTGTTAATGAAAAAATCTCTTTCCCGTGGGTGTGTGCGTGAGTAGGCCTATTATGGCACAATGCGGTATTTTCGTAGGCCCCAAGCTTTCGTAGGCCACCAAGTTTTCGTAGGCCCTCCATGTTTTCGTAGGCCCCAATTTTTCGAAGGCCCTAAGCACAGTACTGTGCCTATTTGGGTAATCTGGGCCTGATTCTTCCTGCATGTATCGTTTAAGCAGCGCAGAAATATGTAAACGTTTGCATCCGAGGAATCTTTTTTGGAACTGATTGGGAGGAACACAATGCTGAGAGAAAAACGAGACGGTTCCTTTCTAATTAGTAAGAACACTTGTGTATTGTAATTTCAAATCAAAATGACATGTTTAGGCACTAAATTATTTGTTAGGTTATACAGATTACAATACATGTTCATAAAGCTGGCATAATTTGGGGGCGATCGTTTTATTTGCATTCCAGTAAACGTTCAGTATTAACAGCACCGTGACAAAACACACAAATACTGGGTGAGTAAAACAAAGGGGAACCCAAACCCCCAAAAATATATTTCATATGTTAAAAAAATGTAGCACCAAAAATAATAATGACCAGAACCCCAATTTCATAAACTACGTTTAGATAACAAAATTACTGAAATTGCTCAATACGTTCAAAGTATATCACCATTTAAATGCAATGACCCTGTTACGCACCAACTATATCACGTTGTCCCAACTACAGTTGGGACCATTGCCATATGGAGCTTAATAACGCATAGCAGGAACGATGTTAACATGTGATTTCATTTTTTGTCGCTGTTGACTTAATCTGAATGCATACTGTTCCTTTGAAAATTATTATTGCTAACTCAATTAAAAACGGCAATTTAGTTTTGTAAAATAATCAGCCATCTGTGCTACAAAAGCTCAGCGTTTTTTATGGAATTTGTTTAAAAGAAGATCTAATTCTTCAAAAAGGGCTTTGAAATTATTTGCTTTTAATTGAACGTACTATTATTTCTTATCCCTTTTCATCATTTGATGATTCCTCTTTCGTAAACGTACTGTTAATGATATAGCTCCGTGGCAAAATAAATTCACTCTTGAATGCAAAAGAATGTACCAGCGCCCATGAATTCATTTAAAACGTCTGTCTGTAATAGTCACCAATGTTCTTTTATTGTGTTTTCAAACCCTTGTCTCGTGCATACTTGAAAAGAAAGCGTAAACAAAATTGGTCATGAAAAGGTAAAAGGGGCGTTCTCTTCGTGCACAATCCGTGTGTGGAGGCCTGTGTGCAGTTTTGTAGGTTTTTTTTTTTATCATAACCCCCACATAGAAAGAAGGGGGAGTGGTCTTGAGGATGTGCAAGCCATTGTACCGTTTAAAATCCTAGTAATATTATTATTGTGTTCGCTTG